ACATATGCTAGTAAATAAGAAAGCGTTTTTCTTAATGCAAAAAACTTGGACAGCCCAAGGCTTAATCATAATGAGCTTTGTGATATATCTGAATGTGATTTAAAAAAAAACTTTATAAAAATAATTCCTCTACATCCTACACCAAGCCTGTGAAATCAACAGGTAATAAGTAAGAAGACACAAATAAAGGCAGGGGATTTAGGCACCGCACCTGCCTTGCAAGCGCAAGGTCCTGAGTTTGATCCCCGGTACCAAAAAAAATATTATTGGTGCTAAGAAGCTCCAGGCAATTTGTTCAAGGTCACCCACCTAACCAGTAGGCATCTATACATGAGACAACAAGGGCTCCCAAGCATAACTTTCCTCTACAAGGTGACTACTTATGATGCAAATATCCTGAGGGTATAGAGGCCCTGCACAAAGCAAATGACATAGTTTACCCCTCTGCAGCCACATTCCTGGTATTTTTATACAGGTAAAATTGTGTCTACACAAGCACTAAAGTAAAGAGTTTGGCTAAAGGGGGACTATCTGTATCTTCCTGGCTAGAAACTACGGATTGGGAAAATGAGAGTACTAAAGCTACCTGAAGTGGAGTTAGATGTATGAAAGCTAGACTCCTTTTTTTATGATCACGACCAGGTGAAATGCACACCCCTCTTTGGCAAGAACTCCCAGGACAGGGCTTGGTGTATCAAAGGATCTCAAAAACGCAGCTCTCATCTTCCCTGCTCTCCAATCCAACAGCACTCAAGCTGGCCAAAGCTTGGGGTCCAGACCACTCATGGTATCACAGTTCAGGAAAACCTGGTGGTTGAGGGCTGAGGAATAAGTTCTGAAGACACTAGAATTAACTGTAATCCCCCTGTATACTTAGTGATCGGACAAAGTACAAAGCCACACAAGAGAACTGGACTTACATATACTCTAAGGATGTAAGAAGAAAATTGAAGGAAAACTATAGTCCCCAAAACTAAATCAAGAGAAAACACATGATTATATAAGATACAAGAATTAATAATAAAGACAAGTACAGTACCTCAGAGTTATAGGACATCAAAAGGCAGCCACATGACCGAAACACCTGAACAGAACTTTAGCCTTCCTTTGACTAGGGAGGTACAAGACCTTTTTTTGGCTAAAACAAGGAATGGTTTGGTGAGAGAGGAAAAAGAACTTCCCCTCTAGATGGCTCCTATTTTTAAATACCTACTCCTCTCAACTGTCTGGTTGAAGGATGTCTAGTGATGCAAGACAAGTCATCTTCTGGTCAGTAGTGAACATCCTTAGAACTCTTATTTTTCTACTGGAGATTTCCCAGCCTTCTTTGGCACTAGCAGTTACCAGCAGCTGATAGCATCTTACCATGTGACATTGTGTAAAATCGTGTGGCACAGTCAGATTTTTCTTTTCCTTACAGTAATCCTGTGCTGGTGAAAAAAAAGTATAATTATTTTAATTATGTACTTAGAAAAAGGATTATCTCAAACAAAGAATCACAGGGTTATACTAATTAGAAAGCACCTCAATTTATTACTATGAATTTTTCAGGGCCCAAATACTTTACTTTTACCTGGCAAATGCAAAGGCTGTTTCTTACTGTCCACACAATCATCAAAAGGAGAAAGTTGGTTTGACCTTTCTAGGATGAAAAGCAAATTCAACAGGGAAAAGAAGGCAATTAAGATACAAATACAAAACTGGTATTACTGCCTTATTCGTTACATCAACAAATATTTATTGAGCAACTAATACATGTACCAGGCACTGGTGAATAAACCAGACATTATTGTTGCCCTCAAGGGCAAGAAAGCAGTACTAACCAGTAAAACAATATATAATTACAAATTATGGTAAATATTAAGAAGGAAAAGATTATTATACTTTGAGGGACAAAATAAAGTTACATGGTAAGGAGTGGCCTTCTCAGAGAAAACCTCCTAAGAAATGATACTTGAGCTGGCACTGAAAGATGGGAAGTTACTCCTGGAGAAGGTCCTAAACGAGAAGAACCACATGAGCAAGGGCCCTAAGGCAAGACTGCTGGAGAACTGGCCAAGATGCTGGCCAGAGATGGAGGTCAGAGGACAAGGGCCAAATCACACAGGATCCAGAAGACAGAACTTTGATAACTTTGTATCTCACCCAAAGAATAAATGTGTTTCCTGGGAGCCCTGAAGACTTAAAAACAGCAAGTGAGAGCAGGATGTGGTGTCCCACCTCTGTAATCCCAGCTGTCTGGAAAAACTGAGGCAGGAGAATCACTTTAAACCCAAGCTGGGCAATTTAGCAAGATCCTGTTTCATTAAAAAAAAAAAAAAAGGCTGAGGATGTAGCTCGGTGTGAAGGCCCTGGATTCATTCCCCAGTACCATAAAACAAGTAAACAAAAACCAAACCAAAATAAACAAAAAAAGCAAACAGCAAGTGACTTTGTATTTTATTTTTCAGGGTGCTTGTGGGAAAACGGACTGGAAGGAGCAGGACGTTAGCAGGATACTATTTAATCAGAGAAAGCTAAATGGCTTGAACTAGGAGCGTAGCATAGTAGAAACTGAAAATCAGATAGGTTTGAAAGAGATTTGGCAGGTAAAATGGACAGGACTTTGTGACAGTAGGTTTGAGGGCCTGAAAGACCAGAAAAGTGTGAATTAAGGGACGCCTTGGATGAATGAGTTCAAAGATAGAAGAGCAACTTTGAAAAACTGGTCACAAGTTCAGTTCTGGAAAAAACTGAGATGCGACCATTTATTTATTTGTTATCTAAAGTGTGCCAGGCACTATATGAGGTGTTCTAATCATCACAGCACCCTTTCTAATAGTAGTGTTGCCATTTTACAGAGGACAAATTGTAGATCACAGAGGCTGAGCAGGGTGGTCAACCTTATTCACCTTGGGAGTGATATACCCAAGTCTGGCTGGCTGGCTGGCTGTAGGGTAAATATTCTTTCCAGTACACAGAGTACTTGGAAACTATCTCAATATTTTGAATTTTGAAATCTATTTAGGGTTGGAACAAGCTAGTATCTAAGGAGATTAAAGTTATACATTATTTTTTAAATCTGAGTAGATTTATGATGCAGAATGTTTCCCTATCCAAATCCAGTCCCCATTACACTGTTTTTGTAGTATTCTGAACATGAGCAAGATATCTAAGATCTTAACATTTATAATAAATTAGCAGAGCCATTATGCCAAGTTAATTAACCATAATGAAAAGAGCAACAATATCCTGTAGCAAACAATAGTTTTACTCCCAAATCATTATATGCATCAACATAAGAAAAATCAAATAATGAGTAAGAAACTGAAGAACTAATCATTTCTCAAAATGCAAATTATTCAAATTAAAATGGTGCAAGCCATCAATTACAGAAGGCTACAAAAAAGCCAAACATTCAAATTTAAAAGCTGCACCTTTAAAAAACAGAAATGAGTGGCAAAAATAAATGACATCACAGATGTGTAGTTTAAATCTCCAATTTCCAAATATCTCAACCAAATGCCAAATTCAGGAAACACGCACCCTAAGTGACTTAAACATCCTCTCTTCTACAACTGTTTTTCCTTTCAGCACACTGAGACTTTTGCAAACTGAAATGTCTTTTCTATTTGGACAGTCCCAGGATTTGCTCCCTCTAGGGGATCTCTAATGTCCCCTTGAGCTACTGAAGCCCAGAAATAAAGTTTGATCGATGAGCCCACAAAGAATTCAATGTATTACTGCCAATTGTATCTATTATGGAAAGTACCATCTTAAGGGCGGGGGGGGGGTGAGAGAGGGGAGATTTTTGAGAAGTTTAATCACCTGCACTACAAATTATATTTGGTTGCACCTGACTCTTCCAAAGAATAATCACCAAATTATCTTCAGTCTTCTTAAAGTGGGGGGGGGGTATGGTCACGTGTAATTTGGATGGTGTGGAAGAGTTCCCCATGGAAATGAATAAAAGTAAAAGTACCATTAAAATGCTCACTAAAAAAATAAATAAATAAATAACACACAAATCACTTCCCAACTAACAGTGCTGTGTCCTGTGTCCTAATTCCTGTGTGTCCCCGTACTGCTCCCTGAAGAGGACTGGCTGGCATTATATCACTACTGCCTCACTCAGGCAAGGGACAGAATGTTGGAAATTCATTAAGAAAGCTTCCCAGTTTCTGTTCCTTCATAACACGATCGCACCTCCTTAAACTACAAGACGACTTTTTTTTTTTAAATGAAAGAAGGAAAACTACCTAGACCTTCTACCAGAAAAAAGTGCACAAAAGAGCAGAGATCTATACATATTTAAAGATGCTTCCTGGGGATAAAACAGACCTAATGAGGAATCGCTGAGCCACAACCTACTGAAAAATTCATAAATATTTCTCCCTCCTGTCACCAAGCTGGGGAGATTTTTAAAAAAATGCAATGTTTTGATGTATTGACAAGGGCTAACCTGATAAGGTTAAGTCAGCTAGGAAACGTGCCCTGCATCTATTTCCCTTCCAAATCCCTAAAGATCAGAGGCAATACTGACCTACAATTACATCCTAAGATTTCTCTGCAAAAGATGCCATTTGACGCTGAGAAAGTAGTGATTTAGCAACACCAGGACGCTCCACAACGCTAAAACAACAACGCAACACTGGATTATGAACCTAGGTTTCGGCTTATAAAACCCAGGGCCCTATGAGGATCCGCATTCAAAGCTCCCATCCCTTAAAGACTGAATCTTTCCAGGCTTCCTACGATGTGACTCTCAAAGTTTCTAGTGTGCAGAACGGAATTACTTTCAAAGTCCTCTCTTACCAACTCCCCTCCTCAGAGGGGCTGGCGACCAGAAAGAATAGCGATGTTGGATAGTCACCGTTCAAACACAGTTTTAAAACCTATAATCCAATCACTGCTTTTTAAGAGAGAAAAAAATGAGCGTTTCCCCAACCGCCACCCAGCAGGCGAGCATCCGACTTCCATCTGTAGAAAAAAAATACATGTATTAAAGAAGCCAGACATACGTTTTCCTTGCCCACAAAAGTGGCCTCTAAACTCCCTTGCCAAGGACACCGGGAAGTAGTCGGGCCAGGAGCACTTTTTGGTGCGGGGCGCGCGGGTGCCGCGGGGAGCAGCGCGCAGGGTGACACCGGGGGAGGCGATGCGGTGGAAGCCGGCCGGGCGGAGGCCGGGGCGCGGGCGAGGGTCCCCGGCGGCCCAGGAAAGTTAATACTCACTCAGTTCCGCGAGGGCGCCGCCCCGCGGGCCTCCGGCGGCTCTGCCTGGCGCCGGGGACGCTGTGGCGGTGCAGGCGCCCGAGTCCGTCCCAGCGCCGCCCTCTCCCCCGGCGGGAGGCCCGGCTCCGCGGCGGGCGCGGGTGAGTGCGGACGCCCGGCTGGGGCTCCGGGGAGTCCGGGGGTTCTGAGGGTGCCGGGCGCGCCGGCCTCAGCCCAGCCCAACGCCGTGGCGGCGCTGCGCACGGCCGGGCGGACCAGCGAGGAGCGGCGAGATGGCGAGGCTGGAGAGGAGGGCGGGCGGCCGATGGGCGGCCGATTGGCGTCCGGCTAGCTCCCGCGGAAGGTGCCTCGGGGCTGGGGCCGGGCTGGGGGCCGGCCGGGGGCCGGGCGGCTCCGCCCCTTCGCGGGTCTCGGGAGGGCGGGCGGAGCGCGCGGGAGCAGCGGCGCGGGGGCGCCCCCCGCGGCCGGCGCTCGGGTTACAGCGCGCTCCCGCCCGCCCGCGCGCTGACGGACCTGGTAACGGAACCGGCCGCGGCGCTGCATTGTGGGAGCAGCAAGCGGCCGGGGGCGCGGGGCGTCTCGGCCCGGGAACAGCCGGGTTCGCGAAGCGGGGCGAGGACGGGGTCTTCGGAGGCTGGAGGCCAGCGAAATCTGTCACAGCCCGGGCCGAGACTGTAAAACTGCCCGCCCTCAGCGGTCACCACCGAGTGGCAGGTTTTTTCCTCAGACAGAAAAGGGGGTGAAAAAAGAAAAAAAAAAGCCTTTCTGTCCCCGAGGACTGGTTTGAATTGCTTTTCATCTGGAGTAGCTGTGATTCAGCGTCCCCCTTAGCAGCAAGTATGACCGAGGCAGAAGACGAGGGGGAAAAAACGCTAATGAATCAGATGTGAGTAACAAAAGTTTAGAAAGAGCTGGGCTCAGATTCAAATCCCCCCCCCTTAAAAATAGCATATAATCAACGAAGGAAATCGCTACTTTCATCGGGAAATGCAGATGTCTGTTGTTTTTCACTTTTCATTTTTTTTTCTTTTAATGTCATGCAATTACTCTAGCCACTGGACAGAGTTCAGGTTTTGGTCCAGGCTTGTGCCCACACATGCCCACAACTCAGCAGCAGCTATTAATTTGAAGGGAGATGGGGTGCAGATAATGGATGAGATGGAAGAAAGCATTCCAATTATAAAATGCCCCCCCCTTAATTCTCAGGCACTTGCTTATTAACCAAACAAGGATATTAAATTTGACCTGCAACTTGTTACAGCTCATCTGACTCAGGACCGGCTTTGTTTTGAGTTTAGTTTAAATTTTTCTTGTTGGACCCTTCGTTTCTTCTTGCTTTTTGACCTTTTAGTTATTCCACAGCTCTGTTATTTCCTCCTCCTCACAGGTAGTCTGAGGAGAGTATAGTAAAACTTAACCTGGCAAGTTAACGTTTGGAAGATGTGTGGAAAAAAGTTCTCTATGCAGATGCAAAACCTAAGGGACTGTGATTTAAAGGTGAATCTGTAGGCCGTCCCTCCCTTAAACTACTAGAATCTTCTCAAAGGGATTTCCTAGCCTAATGTGAATGTGTCCTGATTTCTCATTCCCTGTCAGCCTTTTGCTACACTGAACATCTTTCACTACCTGGTTGCCAAATATAATGGAAAAATTTAATCTCCATCTTCTTCTGTCCTTTGTGGTATTTGCTAATACTGACCTCTCCTTTTTTCTTCGAACTTACTTCCATTTGTTTGCTGTGATAGTTACTCCTCTGTGGAGTTCCTGAAACAAGGGTGAGTGATAGCAGGGCACACTGGCGCTATTGTTAAACAATGACTGGAGATCATCCTGAGTAGTTTGGCCTTAATCTAGCTTCTGTCATTTATCAAGAAGATCCCCACCTCCATTTTATCTCAAATCCAGAAGTAAACAAGTTGTGACTCATGACAGCCAACACTCATTTGACCAGCATTTAATAGGATTAAATTTATTATGATTGACTAACCATGGCCACTGCTTAAGAGAATCCCTTCCCGAGATCCAGGTTCCTGGTGATCCAGGTTCCTCATCTCCAAGCCAGAATATGCTTTACTGGTGGTTGCCAAAGTCAGTGAATTTACCTCCATCTGTGCTGGATAAACAGGAAAATCTCTTGCTTGCATCAGCCCCATTTACTTAATGCATTCTTTCTTCTCAGTATAGTGTAATTTGTTTTACATTTTCTTAGCCATAATCATGTCCCTGTTAAGCCTTTGTGAGATTATACCAAATGTCCTTGATGGAATTTGTAAAGGACCCTTACTTCATTTTTGTACTTAACATTCCTGGGAAAGCACCTAACTAGAGTGGGTGACTATTCATACCCGTTAAAGCCTGTGATATAATCAGATTTCATTTTTAAGAAAAAGACCTTGAGAGGATGGATTCAAAAGGCAGATAAGTCCAAAAGAGAGATCAATGTGGAGAGCAGCCGAGACAAACCGGAAGTGACTGTACCTGAAGATGAGTTACCATGTAAGCCATAGTTTCCTCCTGTACAAATTACCACAAACTTGGTGGTTAAAGCCAGAAGTTACTATCTTACAGTCCTGAGGTTGGAAATCTAAAATCAAGGTGTGGGCTATGTTCCTTCTGGAAATTGGAGGGGGAAATCTGTTTCCTTACCTTTCCAGCTTCTATATGCCACCTGCATCCCTTGGCTTGTGGCCCCTTCCTCAAGGCCAACAGCAGAATACCTCTCTGTCTCTTTCCCTGTTTCCCTTTCTGTCTCACTGAAAGTGAGACTGTAAGCGGGACATCTCTCAGAGAGTAGAAATTGATGTGGATATAGTTCTAGCCATGTATTAAAGGCTGAATGGTATTGCAGTACTTGTAGGAAAAGATGACAGGTGGCTTTATCACTTGCTAAATCATCAGTGGGATTACTGGTTTGATGTAAGATGGCTGAAATGGTGACTTGTTACCTTAGCTAAATCTACATTCATCCCATAACCCGTGCAATACTAAGACCCAGGGTGCTAATACTAAGAAAGCCTAACTTAGATCTGCAGTTCTTGGGGATAAATCCCTGTCTTTGAAATCCCTGGCCACTTATTATGTCCAGTGGAATCATTTTACCAAGTTTGAGAAATATATGCCTAGACTAGCATTTCCCAAACTGCCCAACTAAGGAACACCAACTTGTTAGAGAGGATGCTGAGAGGACAGCTGTACCTTATGCTCAGCAAGGCCCGTGGAACACAGTTGTGACTACATACTAGACTAGCCGAGGTGCTCGTGCCCAGAAACGGATCATGAGTAAGTCAGAATCTGTCAGGGCACAGTACTGGCAAATTCTCATGAGGAAGTCTGGGGTGGAGGTAGAAATGGAAGTTTGTTATGACTGATAGGTGTGTAGTACTGGCAGGACAATTATGAGCTTCTGAGTATAATTTATAAGGCCCTTTATTATGTATCTCTCCCTACCTGTCCTCCTCTCCCTCACTTCTCATGGTCTGTGTTTTACCTATAATAAACGTAAACTTCCTGACTTCAAATGGTGATCCAGGTCTTTTGTAACTTTTTGCTGAAATTGGTGTCTATATGCAGAACCCCTACTCTCCTGCCTCAGCCTTGGCCTGTCCTCTTCTTCAAGCCTTGATCTACATTGCCTGAGTCAGACTAGGACCTCAACTGGTATTATTGAAATAAAAGTTAGATGAATGAATAACAATATAAATTGAATAATGCTACCTACTCCTCTTTATACTTTTCTTTACTCTTCTTCCTTCTATTATAACAAACTGAGATTTCCATTCTTTCAATTAATAACATAATTTTTAAAAATAATAACAATTTTAAAAATAAACTGGGATTGCAAAAATGAACATGACATAATCTTGACCTTCAGTGAGCTCACAGTCACTCTAAAGAAACATGCTTTAAGAATGGAAAATGAGGCAAGTTATGTCTATTCAATTCCTTTTCTCCCCTCTTTCTTAGTAACGGAAACTGATTTTGTGCCCAGTCAAAAAGTTTCGTTTTATAACCTTCTTTGCAGATGGTAGTGTAACTAAATAGGCCAATGGTTTGTGAATAGAATTTGTGTGTTGTGTGAAACTCCCAGAAAAGCTCCTTTGTGCGCTGATATTGGGGTGCTGACAAGACTGATTCAAGCTCTATTCCTGCCTGGTACATGGGTGTGATAACTGGAGCAATAGTAACTGTCTTGTGGCATCAAAATTATCTTGAAGCCCAAAGTCATATGCTAAGGAAGGCAGCAGAAACATGAAAACAGCCATCCTAAAAACTCAGAAATACTAGGGGCCGGGGATTTAGCTCAGTAGTTTCGTCGCCTGCCGCGACGGCCCAAGTTCAATCCCTGGTACCAAAAAAAACCCCAAACAAACAAAAAAACCCTCAGAAATATTTATCTTTGAATTTTTTTTATGTGAGAGAAAAATAGTACCTCAATGAAATTCAAACACAGTGGCCAACTGATACAAATTTACGCAAAGGTTGAATTTTGCCTGAGGAAATGATCTCACAGAGAAGATGACAAAGATGAGTAGCTATTCACTAGCCTGGGAAAGAGATTTCAGATCTGATATCCAGTCATTTTCATTTGTAGTGAAGGTGATGTCTCTGGAAGATAGATGATAGTCTTAAAAGAATTTTTGGTTTTTTCTCTTTTTTTTAAAAAAAGAAAGATCATGTGATGTTAAGTATGAAAATGATAGATGCCCTTAAGGTCAATGGCAGTAAGAATTTGAAGATAGGTTAGATATATATATATATATATATCATATATATAATATATATTATATGAAGGCATGTATATATATGGCATGCATATATTTTTGAGAAGAAGATAATACATATTTTCTCCTCTTTTAATTCTGTTAACTCTGAATTTTTTTTTTCATTTTGTCCAAATGGGGTCATTTAGAGATCCTCAGCCTGAATTACCAAGCCTTTGTTTACTATAAGTTTGGAAGGAACAAGAAAAGAACCCCGTCTCCTTTCCTCATCAGTGTATGTGTGTATTAATCAATAATTATGGTATTCTTTCCCCTTCCTAATGAAAATCTTGTTCATATACTGACACACTGAAATGATCTATAAATAATTGTGCTGTAGTAACCAATATAAAGGGTCTTTTGAGAAGCAACCAAAAGTTTTCAGGCCTGGAAGAATTTTTAATGTAATGATAGTTTCTTCTTAAAAATCAGATTATACCCTTTAAAGGAACCTCCAGTAAATGAAGAGGTCAGGAAGATGATGACCAATATATTTTGTTAAGCAATAAATTACAACATGGGAAAGAAAATATAGTATAAGGTATAAATGGAAACCATGGCATTTTATACCAAAAAGAATATATCCAAATATATTCAGAAATAGGATTTAAATATGATTGGATCCTTCTTTCAGTAGAAGATATTAAAGAGGATAATCCCATGAAAATTAAAAAGACTTGATTCTTGGGCTAGGGATTTATCTCAGTGGCACCTCGCCTGCCTCGCAAGTGCAAGGTCCTGGGTTCGATCCCCAGTACCAAAAAAAAAAGCTTGATTCTTTTATTGTTGGCTGGAAAAATAGATTTAGTTAAATGAGATTAATGTGGGGGACTCTACTAGAACCTACTGTAGATAAGAATATTGTAGAGAAAACAGTGGAGAAGGTACCAGATGTTATGAAGTTGCATCCTTGTAAATACAGGCAGTAAAATCTAGTCTGTCCAACATTCTTTCAAGCTGAATGGCACTCACCAATCTTTCTACACTTCTGCAGTACTATAATTGAGGTTTATAGTGATGACCTTGATATGACTTCTGAATCATAGCAGAAAGATCAAATTATGTTCTGCTTTGTCTTCGTGTATTTAATTACATTTTTATTAGTTGCATACTGGGAAATCTGATC